CCCTCTAAGGTGCACGTGTGCGCAGCTGTGCACAACTAAAAGTCTGGCCGCGCACAGCCTTTTCAAGGTCACGCACCGGGAGAGGAGCTGAAGGTAAGCTCCGAGATGAGGCAAGGCTAGGTGGGGCAGGGGCCTGGCGTGGGCTCCGGCGGCTCCGGGGAACTGCTCCACTCCCCCACATCACCTTGGGGAGCAAGGAGGCACATGGCGTCAGGGCTGGAGAGTGGAGCACTTCCCCGGAGCTGGTGGAGCCGGCAGAGCAGTGTCCCAGAGCCGGCGGAGCCTCACTCGGGGCAGGCAGCGGCTCTTCCCCAAGGTGAGGCAAGGCAGGGATCGAGGCTGGGGCTGGGGGCTGGCGCAGGCTCCGCCAGCTCCGGGGAATTGCTCCAGTCCCCAGCCATGACGCCACATGCCTTCTCGCTCCCTGAGGCAAAGTGGGGGAGCGGAGCAGTTCCCCAGAGCCAGCAGAGCCTGTGCCAGGCCCCAGCCTCAGCCCCCAGCCCTCAGCCCCCTTTAGTAAGTGTCCCACACCGGACCAAGGCGGCGCACTCACGGACCACTGCTCCTTAGAGGGAACGTTGCCTACAACCCCAGAGAAAAGCCCATCTCTATCCTCTCTATCATCAACCTTCAGGTATTTGAAAGCTGTTATCAAATCTCCCCTCAGTCTATTCTTTTCCAGACTAAATATCCCTAGTTCTTTCAGCTCTTCCTCATGCATCATGCTTCCCAGGCCCCTAATGATTTTTGTTGTTCTGTGCTGGACTCTTTCCAACCTGTTCACATCTTTCTTGAAGTGTGGAGCCCAAAACTGGACATAATACTCAGGGTGAGGCCTCATCAGTGCTGAATAGAGTGGATGAGTAATTTCCCTTGATTTGCAAGTGACAACCCAGGGTGCTGTTGGCTTTTTTTTGCAACACGAGGACACTGTTGGCTCCTATTCACCTTATGGCCCACGGAAAGGGTCATGGTCAAACATCTGGCCAACAAGCTGGAAGCAGCCTGGGGAGCCATATGATCCAGCTCATGGGTCTGAGACAAACCCTAGACTGGTGTGGAGGCTGGATCCAGCATCATGAGTGCTGCACGTGGTCCAAGGGGCTAGCACAAGGCATGTCCTACATGCTGCACCCATGCCAGACCGGCTCTTTGTGTTGCCTCTGGGGCTGGTTTGGATGGGCTATGCCAGAGCCAGTGCACAGGATCACCACATGTAACATGCGCCCGATGCCAGCCCCTGGATCATGTGCAGCCCATGTGGCCAGTTCAGCCTACATGCCACATGTAGCACGCACCAGCCCCACTCCTGGGTTTATGTTGAAGCAGTGTGCGGAGCTGGACATGGTGCCACAGGAGCTGCACCCAGGACATGGGGCCTGCACAGGGTGTTCACTGCAGGTGGTGTTCTGCCAGCCTGATCCTACACGCTGGCTCCAGCAGAGCCCAATCTGACCCACAACTTGGTTCAGCAACCTTCATCTGACCCATGAGGCTGAATGAGCTTGACACCCCTGGTGTGCTGTAACCCCCTGGTCCTTCTCTGCAGTACTGCAGCCAAACCAATCATTCCCCAGTCTGTATTTGTGCAGGCAATTATTCCATCCCAATGCAAGACTTTACATTTGTTCTTGTTGAAACTCATCTGATTGGCTAAGGGCCAATCCATTTTTCCAGTCTATGCAGGTCATTCTTGTTCCTATTCGTGTCTTCCAGAGTGTCTGCAGCTCTACCCAAACTGGCATCATCCACACACTTGCTACATGTGCACTCAATCCCATTATCCAAATTACTCGTGATGTTGAGCAATAGTGGACTCAGGACAGCCTGATTTTCAATCCATTATACTCTTCAGATGGGGCTAATAACACACACCTGATCCGCCTGGCAGGGTGATTCAGGAAGATCATAGAACGTGATACCTGGCCGTGGTCGGCTTGCTGAATGAAGCCTGGAACCCCAGTTCTTCACTTTAAACTCCTCATTTTCTGTCTGTTAGTGTGTAACTGCAGCTCTGCTTATATTTTCCTACAGGCTATCCACGCTATTTGGTTGTCGGAGACCATTTGTCTGGGGAGCATCATCTGAAAATCCTCAGAGCGGATCTCCAAGATGACGCCATATATGAGTGCCAAGCCATTCAAGCGGCCATCCGATCCAGACCAGCCCGGTTGACTGTTCTCGGTAAGTCTCCCTCTCCTTTAGCATGAGCGCACTGGGGAGGTTATTATGTTTTCTTCCTTGAGATAGATTTTTTGTTTTGTTTTTTGGGAGGTTTTTTGGTAAACCGTTTGCTTATGCTGCTGGATCAGGGTTATAAGCTTCAACCATTTGAAGCAAGAAAGAAATTTCTCAGGGCTGACTCCAGGTGTTCTTTTTCCTTGGGCCCTCCCCACCAAGTTAATATTTTTTTCACACATGCTCCCACAGAAAGACAGAAGGAGAAAGCTGTATTGAGAGATTGTAGCTAAAAGACTTCTTACCGGTACATTCTTATGCATTCACCCTGGAATTGTGCCAGCGCACTGTATAAAAGGGGGTGTATCTTGCACTGGAAAGGGGAATAACTATGCTGGTAAAAGTGGCAGTTTTATTGGCAGGTTTCAAGATTAAGTATAGATGCTTGCCAGAATGGACCAACAAAAGGCAGGCTCCTCATAAAACTGTCTAGTGTGAATCAGGCCCTAGAGTAATTCCTCTGAAACTTTTTTAAAGGAACAACATTATTCCTTTTCTAAAACTTGTAGAGAGTTTCACATTTGGTGTTTGGTAAATAGTTTCAGTTTTCAAAACACCAGCCTTTTTGAATGTGTGCTTTTAGCTTTGAAATAGGAAAGGTGGGTTTTCATTCAAAAAAGGGGGTTGGTAAATGTTTTTATTTGCTCCTGTTATAACTGAACAGCAGAAAAACAATTATCAACAAAACGAACAGTTGTTGCTGAACGTGTGGGTCAGTGGAGTCTGTCTGTGCAGAAAAACTGAGCTCTAATTCGTAGATTATAATTCCCATAAAACACATCTTCTACCGTAAATAGAAACCACTGAGTACCATATATTTTCACATAAACAGCAGCCAGCATCTATTCCACACATTGGGTAACCCCAAGGATAATAATGATTTCCCTTTGATCCATAAAAACATCTTCCTGCTCAATCAACATTGTGCATTAGCTTGGAGTTCTGGCATACGCTTCGACATGAAAGAAATCTGCAGATGAATGGGGAAAGTAACACAGCCATGTCATTCAAGTCCCATCCTCCTGCTCTGCTTACTATCACTCTGTGCAGGCTACATCGCCTTCCCCTCCCTAATCTGCACCTCCTTCTTGTGTTGTAAAATAATAATATGTTGCTGAAGACATACAAAAAAAATAATATGTTATTTAATTAGACAAAAAGATTCCAAAACTAATTCAGTCCCAGGGTGCATGGGCATATGCCAGAACTCTGAGCTACTGTGAAATGTTGATTGAGCAGGAAGATGTTTTTATGGATCAAAGGGAAATCATTATTATCTTTGGGGTTATGGAATATGTTGAATAGAGGGTGGTTAATGTTTATATGAATATACATGGTACTTGTTAATTGATACATTTACCTAGGATGTTCAGCAACTTGCATTTTGCAGTGTGTGGTTTTTTTTTAAATAAATTAAAGTTATAGCACACTAGAAACAAACTCCTTTCAGAAACAGCATGAGATTTACATGTACTAAGGCAGATGTTCTTGGGGAATTTGAGGTTGACTGGGGAAGAATGATGGGTATTTCACTCCTCAGAAGGATGAATCATTAGCAGCCCATGGACCAGAGTTCAAGCATCTTTGTATTAAGACACCACACATCCTTCATTGTGTTATCACCCGGGAATGACAGTGAAGGTAGCCACGGGCTATACATAGAGATTCTGCAGGCTGCATTTTGTCCAGCTCTTGGTAGGGGGAATTGGTAGGTATATAATGAGCAGATGTCTCTGGCAGTCCCTTATATTCAGAGGGAGATCTGGTTCTTAACAGCCAGTTACACTATTCAGCACATTGAGCTATAGGTACAATATACTGTACATTAGGGAAACAAAGAGCATATTTGTACTGGGAAATGGATAGAAACTTCAAGTAGTTACCGAAGTGTAATGCCACCAGCTGTGCAGATGTTTCTGGTTTTTAAATCGTCATGCAGACTCAGCTGGCCTGCTTTATTTCTGAACTAAGTGGGCTCCGCAGGCTGCTCCATGATGAGATAGATATAGTTTCCCTGAATGACAGTTCAGTGAGTGGAGGGAATGTGACAGGTTACCTCAGTCACTGGAGCTGCTGCTTAGAGCACAGGTCAGGAGTCAAATTTTGCACTGACAGATGCTCTTGGGCAACTCACTAAGGACAGAAATTTCAAACTTCGGTGCAATTACCAGGAGCAGTTGGTGATTATAATCTCTGAAAACCAGACCACTCACGCAGGTGCTGAAATATGGAAGAAGGCACTTAGCTCCAGTGTGAAAACATTGGATATAACTTCTCTGGGCCAAATACAGTGGGGTTACACAGCTGAAAGCCAGGGCAAAATCTAAGTATCAAAACTTACTCCTTTGTAGAATATGTGTAATAGCACTGGGCAGTGTCAGAGTTGTACTGTGAGTTCCTGACATAGCGAACCCTATAGAAATGCCAAGTGTTAAGGGCAGTGTAAATGATGCTGATTTGATTGATAGAGAGTGTAACAATATTGCAGGAAAACTTGCTCTGAGGGCTCCTTATTGTTTAACATCCAGCCAGTAGAGGGCCACATAACAAGCAGGAAAAAAGTAGTATCCCAGGTTGGGAGATGTGGGGCTGGGGAAGAGCCAGAGAGTGCATGTTAACAGGGCATCAGGCTGGATGCAACAGCTAAGGCACCGGTTGGTTGCAAAGAGAAAACTGGGCAGCTTGACAGCTGTGATTGAAAGCCAGGCAGGAAAGCAGCCTACTCTATCTGCTAGCCACAAACTAGTGGTAGAAGCAGAACAAGAGCAAACAGCCTGAGTCTGCATACCTTATCCTAGACTGCCCCTTGGGTTAGGAATAGGAACTTCTGCTTTAACTTCTGAGGCCCTATGCATGAGGATTTCTGCAGAAAAATGTAAGTGAAATGATTTTTTGTGTCATTTATTTTTACAAGACTTTCTGTTTTGGTTTGGCTTTTTTGGTAGAAAGGAAAACTATTTGGTCCCCCCCCCCCTTTCCATCCTATTTCCCCATATTTTTACAGGGGGAAAAAATGGTTGAATTTTTCAGGAAAAAAAGCCCTAAAATATTGTTCATTAGGTATGGTGCAGAGAATACCAGACATCTAAATGGGATTGGCCCAGCCCATCATAGTACTAAATGGGATTGGCTCAGCCCCATTGACACCCTAGGGTTACAGTCTGTTAGCTTGCAGTATAGTACTCAGCCATTAGATGTCTCAATGTGCTAGTAAAGGGTGCTGTCTCTGATAAACAAGAGGAGCAAAGTTGGGACTTGATCTGTGCAGAAGGTTATTTGTTAATCTCTATAATATGCAGTTGCTGTATTTAAAGAATGCCTGTTTGAAGAAGATCTGTGATTCCATATAGTGCAACACAGCATTTAAAGTTCATACAGTAGAGAGAGGTAAATTTTAGTGGAAATAAGCTACTTGCCTTATATCCTTGGCATACTTTAGCATAGGCAGATACTTGTTGGGGATGGTTTTCCCTTCTCTCTGCATCCATAATAGCCTAAAATCTGGGGTCAGAGGCACAAAGCAGCTCTCTTTCTCCAGCTTAATACAGGTGCACAAAGTACTGATACAGTACTAGGCTCTGAAGCTGGTTGTGCTCCCAGAGAGAATACAGGAAGCCAGACAAGACCAGCCAGGTGTTTGACAAGTGAAAAGCCAAGACTAGTTTAGCCTCAAGAAAGCCAGGCTCTTACACCCACAGCTCCACTCCAGGGTGGAAGTTCTCTGATTCCAGAATGACAGCTCCAGCCATATAACATAATTTTATTGCCTTGCAGGGCTTCCTGTTCTCTAACCCTCCAGAATAAATATTTGAGCAGTGCAAGTGCTGACTCAGACCATGTGTGTGCGCCCACACTGCCACCTACATATATCAGTACACACACACACACACACACACACACAAATTTCATCCACTGCCGACCTAGCAGATTCACTCTGCTACCCTCCAGATATGTATTTCCCTTCAGATCCCCTTTTCTCTGATCCAAGAGATGAATAATCATAATGAGATTAGAAAACATTGGAGCTGGAGCCTGAGAGTATATTAATAATTAGTTTGAACCCAGCAGTCTCTAAAAGCTGGGAGAAAGTTACCCTAAGGTTTGGGGTGAGAAGGTTGCCCAGAAAGTTTATTGCTGTGCATTTTGCTTCAGAGTTCATGGTGCACTCCAAGGGGCTTTATTGCTTGGACTTGCCTAAGGAAGGAGCCATTAGTACATTCATACAAAACCAGCAGGGCACGGGTATATTGTGTGACTCTGATTAAGAAAAACCAAACAAAACAAAGCATGGCATGCTGTCTGCGGGTAGAGTTCAGGCATTGGAGCCAGAGAAGCAATTGTATGTCTCACTGCTGGTGGCGCTGATACCAACCCCAGCACCGTGTAGGGACTGGTAATGAGGCCAAGCAATTCCCTTCAGGGGCAATGATTTCTCTGTATTTACAGGGGCTTTTGCTGCATTTATAGAAGGTGGCAATTCTGCTGCAGCTGTTTCTCAGGGATGCAATCCAATAAAACAGTGCACATGGCCACTATAAAACTATACCGCTGTACAAATAACCAGCAGCCTGTGTCCACAAACTATATATAACCCTGTCCAATGACAAAGGGCCACGGGTCTGCTCCAGAACTCTTCCAGCCACCTTCCCCATTTTGTGGGGACCCTACTTTGCAATGAAATGCCCATGAGCCCTAATGATCCTTGCATTTTCTGCAGTGGAAAGGTTTCCACATCACCTGTAATCAGCTGGCTACTACAGTAGTGTCCCCTGGGGGGTGGAATCAGTCTGGATGTCCCAGGCCCTCAGTTGCTGACAGCCAGTGGAGATCCGCAGTTTGCTTGAAGGCCTCTTAGGTGAGTAAATGACACTTCACCTTGCATCTTTGGTTCTCCTCTGAGCAGCTCCTGTAAATAAGGCATGACGTTGCTCTAAAGCTGTAGGGCC